TTTTGCTATCTTTCAATAAATTTCATAATTCCTCGTTCATAGAAGGATCTGTCTTTATCGGCGAAAAACTGAACTGATTTACAGCCTCATCTGAATTAAACATTATACCATGCAAGGAATTTTAAAGAGAGTGAAACAAGTGGAAGTCTGACGGCGCAAGGTCAGGCGAGTATGATGAGTGTGGCAATACATCCCATCCAAGCTCCAATAATTTTTGATGGGTGGTCAAACTTGTGTATGGTCTCGCGTCGTGATGGAACACAACTCCTTTACGATTAACGAGCTCTGGAACGTTTCTGAATGATGGATTCGTTCAAACTGTTCAATTGCCGACAGTACACATTCGAATTGATTGTTTGGTTCCTTGATAGGAGCTCGAAAAACACGACACCTTTAAAATCTCATACTGAGAGCATAACCTTCCTCTGATGAATGTTTGTTTTTGATGTCGTTTGAGGCGAATCATCACGTCGGGACTAAGACCGTTTGCACATCACATTGTTGTAAACAATCTACTTCTCATTACCAGTTATCAGTCGCTTCAAAAAAGGATCGTTTTCCTCACGTTTAATGAGGATATCGCAGATGTTATAGGCGCCGTCAAATGAACTTCTTTGAGTTCATGAGGAAATATCGAGCTTGCTTACATATCCCAGCTTCTTTAGGTGGTCGTAAACGCTTGAATGATGGATGTTCAATGTTTCTGCAATCTCTCGTGTCATGTAACGTGAGTTTGACTCGATCAATGCCTTTATTTTGTTGTAATCAATTTGTGGGCTTTGCTGACTGAGGAGCGTCGTTGAGGTCAAAATCACCAGCACGGAATTTCGTGAACCATCGTTGGCATTGATGTTCTTGTAGAGCATTGTCACCGTAAACTTTACGCAACTTTTCAAGCTTAACGCGCATTCTTCCCTTTACGGTAATAAAATAGTAATATATGGTGAAAATGTACAGTTTGGTCTTCCATCTTCAATTTGTTATAAAATCTCCAAAACTCAACCAAATCGCTCAATTTTTTTTTAGAATGAAGCTAGAACTGTCAGCTGTCAAATGACATAGCAATAACATAGATGCGAATGACTCTAATACTTCCAAAAATGAACTAGCGCCATCTGTTAGAAAAATGCGTCATGACTTTTCCGACAACTCAATATAATTGAAATAATAATTTATATTACCAAAATTCTTCTTCTTCTTTGATACTATTATCGTATGACTCATACATAAGCAATTTCATATACATATATCGTAGATATAATATGAATCACTCAATAAGTCTTCGAGGTTTTTTAATAATCTTTTACATTCTTTTCGTGCTGTGCAGATAAAATCGCGATGGATTATATTAATAAAACTGCGGATTCTTATCTCACTCTTACATAATCTCTAAAAAAATGTGTTGTATGAAATACGTAATATATTATAATAACTTGAAACACATAAAAAATTTCTCAATACTGTCATTGGAGTATACCATTCCTCTCCGCGTAACCTCCTCCCTTCTCTGAATATGGAGACAAATCTCGCACTGGGACTGTTTATAAATTAGGCACCACTATAAAAAAATTCGCAGGTTAAACTTGCTATATTCGCATATATATATATATATAT